CGTGGTAGGCGCAGTACTTTGTGGACCTTGAAGTGCAGATTTCGTGGCAAGCACAGTACTTTGCGGTCCTTGAAGTGCAGCTTTCGTGGTAGGCGCAGTACTTTGTGGACCTTGAAGTGCGAATTTCGTGGGAGGTGCAGTGGTTTGTGAACTTGGAAGTGCAGATAGAGATAGATAGATAGACAGACAAGCAGATAGTTAGATAGATGCATAGGCAGATAGATATATGGAAAATGGATACAGCAGTGCGGAAAACTATGTTGAAAGCTGGGTGTGGTTGAAGTGGCCCTCAGCCTCCACCATTGTTGGGTTTTGCAGGTCATGCGTCATCAGACATGTTCATGTTAACACCGAAGATAAACAGCGAAAACCTCTTTGTAGCGTTGTCACAGCTAAGCGAAGGTGGGCCTTGTCATCCACCTTTGTGGCGTTGTCAATGCAAAGAAGAACGTGGTTTTGGTACTTAGTTGCCCCGTAGCAATCGTGTATATTAAGAAGGCGGGTGGGGGCGCAGCGCCTCCCCCGCAATGAAAACAAAGTATAGTCAGCAACCCGGCACTGAAGCAACCGCCTGAATTTAAAGGTGAGCGCTGCTTTGAACCAAACAATTGCCGGGAACAAGTAACAAGTTGGCGCTGCGTCTCCAAGTTTAAAGTTGTCATAGGTAGCCAAGTGTTTGATGAGATGGTCGTGCTTGATTGCTTAGCCGTCCCGTAGCAATCGCCTAAATTAAAAAAGCGGGAGGGGGCGTGGGGGAGGGCGCAGCGCCTCCCCCGCAATGAAAACCAAGTATAGTCAGCATCCCAGCACTGAGAGCAAGCGCTGGAATTTAAATGTCTGGACCGTCGGACCGGCGCTTTCCTCATCTAAATTCTACTCCCGGATGGCTCACAAAAGGTTTGCGCTTGCCTCCTCTAAATTTGACCCTCGTGTGGCCCACAAAAGCTATACACCGTTGGAATGGCAATTGCATCCTTTAAATTCTACCACCTGGTGGCTCACAAAAGGTCCATTTCTTCCAGCTTTGTGGCGTTGTCACCGCTAAGCGAAGGTGGGCCCTATCATCCACCTCAACCTCTGTCTGATGCAAAGAAGAACGCGGTTTTTGTATTTAGTTTGTCCCGCAGCAATCGTATAAATTTAGAAAGCGGGGGTGCAGGGGAGGGCGCAGTGCCTCCCCCGCAATGAAAACCAAGTATAGTCAGCAACCCGGCACTGAAAGCAACCGCCTGAAATGAAAAGGTCTGCGCCGTTGGACTGGCACTTTCCTAACCTACTGTGATTTCTACCTCCGGGTGGCTTACAAACGGTTTTTGGACCGTCCTCCTCTAAATTTGACCCTCAAAAGCCACAAGCTACACGCCTCAGAAGCCCTCGTCCTTGCTTCCTTCCTGCCTTCCTTCCTTCTTTCCTTCGTATGGCTAGAAAGCCACGAAAGCCAAAAGCCACGCAGAATCCAGAAGCCACGAAAGCCACAGAAGCCACGAAAGCCACGAAAAACAAAAATAAAAAGACACCAAAAAAACTCCTAAATTAAATGGGCCAAATGGGCCTCCTTTGGCCTGCCTTCACCCTCTCTTTTGTCGTCCGGCGACGGGGGGCGACGGCCGGCGGCAGAGCGGTCTTCGATAGACGGGCTGCAAATTTGTTCAAGAGCTCATAAAGCCGTTCAGCACATAGCTTGGCAGAGCGAAGCACGTAGTGGGCACCAGCCCTGGCACTCTTAAAGCAACTGTGTCATATCATTCACTGTGTGCTGCTTGGAGCCGATGCAGGCTGAGCACCCCTGCTCGTAGAGTTCAGCAGCCTGGAGAAGAACTTCCATCTTTGAGCATCATTTCTCAGCATTCAAAACATGCACTTGAGCTTATTTTAAGCATTGTATATTGTTGTCCTCCAGATTTTGCTCATCGCGTCATCTTTTCGTCGCCTGCTGAGGGTTGTCTGCCGTGACAATGATGTGTGCCTTGGGCCATACAGACATCGCCACCTCAGGCAACGCAAGGCATGCGCGATTCACTCAGGATCGATGGACACGAGAAACAGTACAGGGAAAGGAATGGAAAGGAACTAAGAAAGTCGACTGAAAAGAAGATAAAGGATGAATAAATCCAACATCTTTTTGAAAATCGCTAAAATTCTTCTTCGTCCGTTTCTTTTCTGTTGAAAAATCGGATATAAAATCAGTTGAATCTATTTCTTTGGTCATAAATCAATTTAAGTTGTATCCGCCTTTCTCCTGTCTGCTTTTCCTGCCTTCAAGATGGCAAAATTGGTGGTGCCTGAGGTGAGTCCACTTCGTTGCCACTGCATAGGGCAATGTATACTGGATGCAAATGCATGGCCTACTAGCGATGGCCTCCAACCTAGTAGCCATGGCCTCCAACCTAGTAGCGATGGCCTCCACCCTAGTAGGGATGGCCTCCAACCTAGTAGCGATGGCCTCCAACCTAGGAGCGATGGCCTCCACCCTAGTACTAGGGG